GTCAGACTGAAATTTCTTTCTTGCATACCATCACTCATAATAAAGGCTTTACAGATAGAGTACAGTGCATAGTTCTTTTGTATAACTTTAGTAGGGTAGTATCAGTGGGTTTATAGAGGTTTGAGTGTGCCTTAAGAAGCATTGAGCAACCCTGTTAAGGATGAAGAAAATTTAGTTTGCTCTTCTTCGTGTTTCCTCTGCAAGGCTAACAAATAGTATGTTCCAGGAAAAAAAAAACCCAAACCTATAAATACATAGGAGGAACAGATTAAATGAAAACAGAGGAGTAAGTTTACATAATCAGTCCTAACAGGAAACCTATATCTGCTACAAGTGTTAACTGTGTATCCCATAAAATTGTCATATGAATCGTTATTTTTATCGCAAAAATAAACTATTTTACATACTTTCCAAAATGAAGTAATCCTTGTTTTTAAATGTGAATGTGGAAAATAACAAATGGGCAGAAGCTTCATAGGCATAAAGGCAGAAGGGCAAAAAGTACATTGAAGTTTTTTATTAAGTTGTGCAGCAGCAATATTTTTAAGGTAATTAAAGTTACTCAGACAAACCCAAGTGAAACGTTTTCATTGATCTGTGATACACTTTTTTTGTTTATATTCTTAGATTACCAGCAATGCGACCAGTGATCTAAACATAAAGGTCGATGGCCATGCTATTGTCCGTGGAAACGAAGGTGTTTTCATCACAGGCAAGACCATTGAGTTTCGAATGGGGGGTAACATGGAACTTAAAGCAGTAAGTATTTCAAATCAGCATTTTCTGAACAGCTTAGTTTCAAATTCAGGCTGATAATAAACTGATATAGCTTTATAGGGTTTCAAATTTTATATAAAGTAGTCATGCATAAAAGTTTAGTTGCAGTCAGTGTATTTAGTAGGATTTTAAAAGGTGGTTTATTTGCTTTTAATTAGTGGTTCAGTAGTTTTCAGGTAACAATGATTTACTGCTGTTAAGACACTAAAAACCCACAATGCAATTAAAGGCAAGCTATTGGCCTCTGCACTGAAACAAATACCAAAGGGAATTCATCTTCTTTTCTGGAAGCTTTACTGGGGTCAGCAACCATTGACAGAGAGCATACGGTTAGGAGCACTACCTTCTGTGCCGCTGCAGTAAGACTCGCCAGCATTCATTTAAGGTTTCTGGAGATTGTTACGGTTGCAGGGCATATGGAGTGATGGAAAAGGTTAAAGGAGGATAAAAAAACAGAGATACATGCACTTTTATTTCATGTGTGAATGAATTTCATGTATGAATTCAAACACCGATTCCCATTTCCCGTCCATATTTTTAGATTTGCTGCATTTGCTAATAGGTCTGTAAAGTGAAAAACCACACTACTGCTGTCTCTCTCAATATTGATCTACCACTGGAATAGCAAAGTACATTGCTGACTATAATTGAGAAATCCATGGACATTATTCACGAATTTAATAAAAAATGAAATCTTGTCATATGTACTTTTTTTATTCTGCTGATTTCTACAGCCATCCTAAAGATGTCATTTATTCGTTAAACCAGCTTGTCTTTTTCAAAACCAACCTGATTTGTTTACATTAGAAGTTGTACTTTTTTTTCTCTCTCTTAATAGGAAAACAGCATTATCCTGAATGGAACTGTGATGGTCAGCCCATCGCGACTGCCAAGTTCTTCTTACGGGGAACAGTTTAATAACGGCAACTGGCTGCGTTTCAAGCTCTGTATGTGTGCAGATGGAACACTGTTCAAGGTACAGGTGACAGGTTATAACATGGGTTGTCAGACTTCTGTCAATCCATGTGGAGCCACGCACTAAAACACAAACCACTACCAGGAGAGTTCTCTTTTGTGTTTACATATATTTGTATGAAGTAATTGCATGCCTTCAAGGATTTCTGTTTTTACAGCAGTTTATACTAACATTTATTACATAATATTTTTAAGCAAAGGCTGTTATGTTCAGCAGTATTATGTCATCATCCTGTTAGCTGTAATAGCGGCAGTGATTTAGTAAGCTTTCAGTCTACACGCATACTGAAGTACCTTCCTGAATTGGGATCGGTAGAATATATTTAAAGAACGTGATCTTAGCAACAATCTTGACTGCCTTCAGCTGCCTTTAGAGGAGGTTTTTGTCCTACATCCCAAGATCTTGAGGGCTGCTGAGAACACAACTGCGATCTGAAGTACTTCAATAGGAATGTCGATTTGTCGTTAGAAGTGGATTGGCCTAGGATGGCTGAAGATTTTTGTCTTCTCTTCATTTCTTGCCAAAGGCTGATATAATGATTTCCCCCAAAATTATGTGGTTTACTATATGTGTACTAAGAGAGGGGTAGTGGCAGATTCACTTTAAAATATTGCATTATTTCCGCCATATATTCTCATGTAGTTAAAAAAAAATTATGCTAGCATAAATAATATTTGCAAAGTAATACCGAGTGTGGAAATGTAACTTCAGTTTTGAAATAGTCTTGCAATGATTGAAGTGTTGCTTGAGCTCCCATTCTATCTGTGCAGTTTAGGCATTCTACAGTTGCTTAATTTATGCAAAGTATTTATAAAACATGTTTATATTAGAAGTACATTTTTAAAGATGTACTTGTAACTTGCTCACTACCCAAAAAAGTGGTTTTCTGGGTGCTTTAATGTGAACAGTGTATCAATCCATTATTCAACAGGTAATAATCTAAAGCATGTCTGTTACAGCAGTGTCTGAGATCAGATCTCTTTTTCCCCATAAATGTCAGTACTGATGCATTACTGTGAACCTCAGAATTAAATTGTGAAGTTAAACTGCAGGTCTATAATTCTAAATGTGATGGTATTGGATCCTATGACAGCAGAGTAAATACACGTGTATCTGAATTTGTCAACAGTGAAACTGTGTCTATGGTGAACTGGGGCCTTACAGAAACTTACAGCCTTGTAACTGCTTTTGCAGAGGTAAGGTGTTCTGTATTAAAATAGCCCAGCTCATTATAAGATTCCTCCTTTCCCCACCCCATGTATTTCTTCAGATTAAAATAGTTTTGTTTTGCAGTAGCATCGAGTAACCTTAATAATGGAAGCCACAAAGGTGACTTTGCAAGTAGCTTTTTGATGAGTTTTTCTAGATAAGCACACACTTCTCTTCCTAAAAGTTGTGCAAATGTTACATATTAACTTCAGAATTGGTCATTTGTTGTGGGAAGATAAACTATCTATCCTTGTTCTATAACTCTCAAAGTACATAGAATTCCACAAAATACAAATCATCTCCTTCTGCAACAAGAACTTCGTATCTAAGGTCCCAATTCCTGTATTTACTGTATTCCTGTATTTAGAAGTCAGTAAGTCCTCATGCAGGATGTGTATGGGTGGAAGTGATTTCTAGAGGGGGATCCTTAGGTCAAGCATTACGCCACACGGGAGGCCAGAGGGGTCCCGCTTCCCTCATTGCTCAAAGGCAAAGCCGGATTTTGATGCTCAGTAGTTGTTGGGGTTTTAGGGGTGGACAGCAGTGGAGCTGTTCTAACAAAACCAGAATAAACAGAATAAAATGTAGGAAAAGCCATTGAATTGCTCACATTAAAGATCGTGCATTTTGCATACTGCCTTCATGAACTTCATAGAGTTAGTATTTATCAACCACTTCCAACACACATTTTGCTGAAAACATGCACACATCTTTGCTGCTAAGTAGTGCCTCAATTAGTATCTGTTACAGTTAAGAGGAGGAAATAAACTGTAACATTTTTAGAATTTTCACTCCCATGCTAATGGAAGTTTGTCACTTTATTTTTATGTATATATAAATATATATACACACCCCCTTATATAAAACTATAGGCAGCAGTATCCTCAAAGCTGAAATAGATCTTGAAAATGACAGATACTGCCTCGGTCAAGTAGCTTACACACAAAGAGCATATTAAAGCTCTTCTCTGGTTAATACTGACATCCCTATATGCTAGGACTGGATTTTTGTAATTATCAAGAGTTCTTTTTAAAATACTGTATGCAACATAGCTGAAAGATTTATCACAAAGGTACTCTTAAATCATGGTCTGGGGAATTTCTTTTGAAATGTGGATTTTTTGTCAAAACGTAGCAAAACCAATCGTACAAATACCAAATGAAATAAATTATCAATTTGTTAGCCACTATTTATGTATTGTTAATATATTTTGTTGCCTTCGCTGTTGGCACCACACATGCCTTGTGTTGTGCATTTATTTGTTGTTTTATCTTCTAACTCCCTAAGGTACATTTTTCTATACGTATGTAAAACACTGTGTGGCACATTATTTATTTCAATCCCACAGATGCACTTAAGATTCTGTGTGTTTAAAGTACATTCTACATGCTTCTGTGTAAAATACCATACTGGGTACGTTGAAACAACTTACATGTGAAGAGTTCTCAGCATATGTAAAGGTGGTGGTTGTTTCAGTAGATGAAAGACAATTGAATTTCTAACCTTTGTTTTGAAATGAAACAATAAATTCTAAGATGCAGCTGTGGTTCAGAAGTGTTATTTGTAAGACTGTAGTTTTTCATTAAAAATACATTGTTGTGTTATTGACAGAGAAATTAGTATTTTATTAACTGTAAGTATGAAAATCATTCCACATCTATTCATCATGGATTGTATCTAGTGGACTTTGCTCAGTGGTAATTGTGTATGATACCTGACGTAGAGTTCAAAAGTCTCCACTGTTGTTAGTTGACAAGTTCCTGAGAAGCCGTGTTTCTCGACCGAAGGGCTGGGAAAGAAAGAAAAGGTTCGGATTGGTTTTGGGGAGTGGTGGAGGGAGAGGGAAGGTTACCAGTTTATGAATGTTCGTTTTGAAACATACTTAAGAGTCCAAAACTGAATGTTTAAGGCAGACGGTTGGTAATGCTTTGGGTATTTGTTTAGCGTTGATTTTTTTTAATGTCAAAGTATTTCCGCTTTCTATTTAACTCTTGTTATGCTGAACTTACCATAATTTTACATTTTACATATAGATACTATGGATAACCTTCACTTGAGTGTCATAGCTGTGGTCCTTTACTTTAATCTTCCCGGATCAGTGGGAACCAAGTCACGGTGGATTCTTTTTGTTACACATCACCACTCAGACTGCCGGTGGGATAGCGAGTTCTTACTGAACTGTTCTTTTACCGGAATGTCTGCTATTCCAGAAGATATATCACAAACAGCAATAACGGCTGATTTTAGTTACAATAATATTAAAACTTTTCTGTGCGCTGATGAAAGAATTGAAGAATGGATGCTAAAACACCTAAATCTCAGTAACAACCTGATTTCTGAACTCTCCTTAACTACTTGTAGAAATTTACCTGCTTTAGAAATTCTAAACCTCAATGGTAATGCCATCCACACCCTCACACTGGACGTACCTACACCTGCACATGGGTCTAAAAAGTGTGGAAAAGGCTGTCGTCTCCTGCCTGCTTTGAAAGTATTGTCAGTTGAAAGAAATAATCTTAACACAGTTCCAAGAGGTAAGCATTTCAAAATCTTTAAGGACCTCGCTCCCAAAGGGTAAATTGGTTTTGGATATGATTTGGTACATGTTACTGAATTCAAAATGTGACGATCTCCTTTAGTTATACTTAAGGTGAGGAAAAGTTCCATCTGCATGCAAATACAGAGACTGAAGCAAATGGGTTGTTTTGGATTAGGTTGGGTTTTTTTATAGCCTTTGCAATTGTAATGCCTTAATGTCAGTCAAATATAACCAAATTTACCCTCTGAGAGCCCCAGCAGTACTTTTCCTTGTTGTATAGACAGGGAAGTAAGGATCTTTGGAAAAACATCAGCCTTCACAACCCAGTCATGGACCTTAACATCAAGAAAATTATGGATAATTAATTTCATACTACTCTTCAGAAGAAAGCCAATACTCTCTTAAATAAAACTTGCTCCGATTTCAGTATTTCACAAAGACAGGAAAATATATTTTGTTCAGTCAAAACAATGTTGCTCTATGCCACCTGACACCCAACCGAAGTGACACCTTCTAGTAACAAGAGAGGGCTGTGACGTTTCCATAGACTTTTAGAAAGTGCTGGTCACTGCACTATGCTAGGCATCGTAGCCTTTATGACAGCCTCTATCCTCATAAACAGATCATTCACATTGTCCAAACAGCGTCTAAATGAAGCAGAAGCTGCAGTACAAGCAACACTATCCTATATATTGTTTGCTGAATTTAATTATCTCTGATAACATCATCAGATTAATTAGCTCCAGATTTTGAAAATACGAGGGGGGGAGGGGGCAGCAAACCAAAAACCCACTTATCTCACAAAGTCAGACAAAGGGAATAATTTTGCACCTACACAGGGTCCTCGCACCCTCCTCCTTTTTTGATACTAAATAATTCTCTGGCATGCAGGAAAAGGTTTCGCTTAATTATTTTGTAGTATCTGTAAGGTCCCATATAGACAGTATAGAAAAGCTTACATTATAAAATATATTGATGCAGATTTGATTTGCTTTGGTAGACAACTATAACTACACGTTATAGGATGTTCTTAGATATTAAAAGTCAAATTGCTATGCATCGTACCACCATACTTCAAGTTATACTTAAATCCCATATTCATTTAAATACTTTATTTTCCTCCTCCAAAATACTTCACTAACATTCTAGTTTTCAAGCTCTGGTAAGAAAACACAAACTGAAGTTCTTAAGCAGAGGGGTTTGGCCACAGAGAAACTCTTCCCACAGCCTCCACCCCAGATGTCAGGCTGCTGCCCACCCCTGCCGTACCAGTGTATATTTTTGGCACAAATTTAGCTTCAGGGAAGCATCCAAACTACAATTCTTCATGCAAGTGCAAGGAAGAATTTATGAGCTGCCAGAACTTCTGAATGCCTTTCCTATCAGCTACCTCTACTTTTTTCCTCTGCTTTTCACAACAAACCCAAAGATCAATTAATCAATTACTCAGCAAACAGAACACCAAACTGGAATAAGAGATTTCCAGTAAACCAGATGACACCAAGGGCAAAATTTTTAAGGAGAACTAGTAGCTTCTCAACAATGCTGTGTGATCAAAAACCACTTTAGAGTGACATTCAGGCGTTACAAACTGTGGTGATGCTGAGTGTTCAAGTGCCTGCCTTCCCACTGGGACTTGCAGGCTGGAGCTTTGGGAGCTGTCTGCACAGCACCTAAGAAAAATGAGGTATCTCATGAGCATTCAAATGGGCCACTTATGCAAGACAGATGCTGTCGTAACTAGGATATGCTAAAGAATATACTGTCATGGTTGATAATTCACAGGCAGACAGGCATAAGCAACAACAGGTCTTTGTTTTCAGTCAGGTGTACATCTTATGAATATGGTTCAAATAATTCCACATACGAAAAACTCCCGTGAACTTGCAGATGGCAATGCATAGGAGATATTGTATCACCTTTTGCATCTCCATCTTTTATTTACAATTAACATATTTGGATTTTATAAACCGAGTATATTCCACCCTTTTTACACTCCTCCTTTCCTACCTCCAGTTCTCCAGAGAAGCACGCTCAAAGTACAGAGATCACAGTTGGAATAATTTTGATAGCACAAAGGAATGTTACTGCTTTTATAGAGATGTGAATTTTTAAAACATGGATCGATTGTGAATGTATTAACATGCCTGCTGTTGATGCTACGCAACTTTTAGAATGGGACAACCACTGAATAGGAAAGGCATAGTAACTCAAAGCCTGCAGCCACTCGTTGCAATAGACAGGAATGGAAGGAATTTCGTTGCAAAGAATTTTAAAAAGCCACTTGACGCAATTGGGAAAACAAGAACATGAAATGTAAAATAGTTTTGTTCTTCCTAGGACTGGGCCTGCTGCAGTCTTTACAAACTGTCCGTTTGTCATCCAATGGCATACAACAGATTGATCTGAATGATTTTCAAAACTGTTCACAGCTGAAGGACATCGACTTGCAAAACAACAAGATAACTAAAATTCATCCAGACGCCTTCAGGGATCTCCACAAATTACAGGTTGTAAAGCTATATTACAACTGTTTCAATGTTTTGTGTTAATGACCGTTAAAAATATTAATTATCAACTATTCAGCATGATTATATTGGTCTTTGATTATTATATTATTAGTATACAATTATAAAAACTAAAGCAAATGGTGAAAATAATAATTATTTTTATATAATATATATTTGCTTTTCATCTATAGGAAAACATGCACACTTGTAAATATGCACAATATAACCACAAATTCACCATTTCTCTATGCCACAAACCAATCCATAATTGGCTTAAACACACACACGTCCTTTTCTACCCCCATCACTTCCATGGCAAAAGAAGCCCTGTGGCTTCCCATTCACAGAGAGGTAATCTACAATGGGAGAATTCTAAGTATACCACAATTTAAACTTTTCATTTAAATGAAAAAGCTTAGAACAATATTCTTGAAATCCAACCAAGATGTATTGTTCCCGTAACTGCAAAAGTGCTTGTATACCAAAATAAATGTTATTGTTGATGTTGCAATTAGGATTCCATTGTAAGGCTTATCAAATTAATTCTGAATTATTTCCAAACAGGTTGTGGATCTCCGTGAAAATGCTCTGACAATCCCTTTACCACAGATATTAATCAGTTTGAACTTCTTTCAACTTGAAGTGGGTTTGTCAAATAATGCCTGGATATTTAACTGCAGACTAAATGGTTTCAAACATTTACTTCATTTTCTTTTTGACTCCACGAGGAAAAAATGGAGTATTTCATACAATAAATCTGCCAACAACTCACAGAAACCCCTGCTATATCTTTCAAGTTTCCACTTAAACTGCAGCGACAGTGTTTTGCTCAAGAGGGCTGTAATCCCAACAGGGAAGACATCGGTGCTGAACTGTGGCTTGGATAACACAAGGGGTATGTAAAACAGAGACTCTATCCACACACTGCTAAAATCCAAATGCATGCAGAATGATCAAAGAAATCTGGTTTTAAAAGTGGATTTCTAAAGACACTGTTTAAAAATAACTGAACAACTTAACATATAAATTATTTCATTAGAAAGTAGCATACCAGTTAGAATATTTGAAAGTCATGTTTTCCAAAAAAAGTCGTCATCTCCTTCCTTACATTAAACTAATAAGTGATGCCAAATTATACACAAATAAATTTCAGTAAGTAGTACGTTGCAAATTTATCAGTTAATTTTGGAATGTAAACAAAGGACCGCTTCTAGGGCATGTAGAAAACTGAGAAGGATACAATAGTGTTTCTAGTATTCAGTTATAGAAAAATGAAATGAGAGTTATTTGCAAGGGAAAGGATTTATATTTCTTCTAAAAAAGTACAGCTACTGTAGCACACAGTTCACTTAGGAAATGAATTCAGCATTTACAATTAATACAGAGCACTTGAAGTACAAGTGACAACATCTACAGAGCTAAGACTTCCCATGCAGAAGGAAAACTAAGACCAAACTTAGAGTAGGTGGTGTATTTGTCATGTGCCATAAGGCAAAATGGTTTAACTCTAATGGACTAATAGCACTTTGAGGTGGTAAGGCTTTCCCCTTGGAACACTTTATCCCCAAATGAAAATACATAGGGTCTTTCAGAAATGCCACCTGCTTTGTCTATTAACAAGGAAAGTCACGGAAACTCTGATCATGGGATTAAAATCAACACACTGGATTGCACCAAAACTCAACTGGGAACACAAGCAGATCGAAAGCAAAGGTGTACATACAACCTTGAAACACATTCCAAAAGCCAACCACCGGAGCCATGGCCTGCACTAGCTAAAGTTTTGAACAATAGATACAAATACCCTTGGTTTTCAAACCTGTTTGCTGCAGTCAGAGGAGTAACTGCAGGAAAATCACAGTGGTTGAAACACTGACAGTTAACTAGTGAAGTTTTATCTCACAGCTGCACACAGTGACCATGGCCATGTTGGGGAACAGCTGGCTATAAACATGGATCTTCCAGGAGGGAGATCAGCAGGGGTTTCTAGTATGACCCAGAACATACTTAGATAATTTCAGTGACCTCCTCCCTCATCCACGCCATTTTTCTTGTAAAGTCTGCTATTAAGACCCCATACATACTGTGTTTTAAACAGGGGGGGGATATATGATGGTTTGACAGATACTTGGTACCATGTAAAATAACTATGGATGGATAAAAAGAAAATGGATTTTAACTACTAAATAGTTAAAATTGTCCAAGATAGGTCAGAGCATGTTCTTACAGAAATAACTTGACCCTGCAAACCAAGTATCCGATACCTTTAAGAAAGATTTAGTTTGTATTTTCTTTTATTTCAGGTAATGGAGTCTCTTGGTGGACACCTAAAGGCAGAATTTCGAAAGATAATAGTCTTCCTCATATGACACTGGATAAAATGAATAATTTAGTGATACACAATGCTGAGAAAACTGATGAAGGGTTATATTTGTGTATTTTTAATACAAAAAAGAAGAAATATCTCATCTACAATATACAGGTGAAGGAAAGGGTTTCATCATTTTTGGTTAGAAGAGCCCGGGACACTAATACTGTTTTTAGACAAAGAAGAACAGAGCAAGACCTTGCACTGGCTGTCTGCCTCTCGGTGCTCATTACGTTTGTTTGTGCTTTTTGTCTGGGTGCTTTTGCTAGACCCTACCTTGTGAGCCTGTGGAGATTCATGCGCAGGAACAAAAATTCAGGTTCAGAACATACTTATTCTAATCAAGCTTTTTCAGACGGAACCTTGAGCAGAGAGTGCTCTGCAAGCAAACCAACAAATACACAGCATAATTTGTTCATTTGTGATGAGAATTCTTCAAGAAACACATGCATTTTTCCTACAGAAACTTCTATTTTGCATGAAAATGTCATTGGTAGCAGTGTACAGGCACCAAATACTCTAGCTGGCGATAGTTCTTCAGATGAAGGGACTCCATTCACAATGAGTGACTGCAGTTCTTTAGCAGACTTTGAATGGGAACAACCTGACGTTAGCGACAACCTGCCAGTCTGTCAGTCGTCACTAGAGGAAGCCAATACAAACAGTGGAACTAAGAAGTTCTCAACACCGCCAGAGTCTCCAAACATTGCTGCTGAACTTCAGCATATTGGGAAGAAGGAAGACGAGAACAATGCGTATTTTGAAACCACTATTAATTATGATTCAGATACCATCATGCCTGAAACAGCATCGCTTTATGCTGGTAAATGTAGTGACCATGTAAGCATGTCCCATTCAGACACAATTAGTTCTTCAAGTCAAGAAGTTCCTGATATGTTTGATTATTTTACTAATGCAGAGTCAACAGTACAAAACTCTGTTTCTGATTCTCTCCACAATCAAAATACAGATTTTGGCAATACGTTACTTTTGTTAAAACGTTCTCCCACGTACGACACAGATGCAGAGAACACTTCTGAAGAGGCCGAACTGCAGCTGTATCAGTTTCCCATTGAACCACAGCATTCCCGCAGCTTCAGTCCCACTGAACAAAAAGAAAATGCACCAGAGAGAAGTACAGACGAGCACATAGATAGGAACTCCTCTGAAAAGAATCATGGTGAAGGGGACATTACATTAAGACACACAAGTACATCTGAGGACAATGATTTTATTTTTGCTCCCACTGATACTGGTTTGAATGAAATTGTTACAAAAAGGTCTCTACAGGATTCCAGCAATGAATCATCTCTTCAATCTCTGCCTGAACACACAGCTGAAAAACATGTTACGGTTATTACAGAGAAAGACGACTTGCTACCACAGGGGAAGCAGGTGAACACAACTGAGGCTTGTGCAGAGAAAACGCAAAGAGGTTTTAATGAGAAAGACTGTGATGGATACACAGAATTACAGGACAACACCAGCAACTGTAGTCTGCCCGAAGAAACGCAGTCTTGCAATCTTACGGCAGATTTGCTACGTCTTCCCTCTTCTGGGAAAACGCAATCAGACTTCAACACAGAAGATCATTTCCAACTGGATCAGAGCGATGAGGATGCATATTCCTTCTCAGTCCCACAAAGCTTCTTCAGTGAAAGCACACGATGCAGTTCATGTTCATTCCCACAAAAGACTACAGGAAATACAATCTCTGGAACCACTGATTCCAGCAAGACAGAGGATGACACTACTTTGACAGGACTGGACAACAATTCTACAACAGCTGTCAACCTCCAAAATTCAAGTGAAAAACTCAGTCAAAAAAGTCAGACCAATTTAGGACAGGGCCAGTTTTTTGTTAAGAAGAAAAGAGCTTTTGATGGATTTGCTAACGTTTTGCAAAGCAGGAGAACAAACTTCAATAGTTGAGACACGGAAGTGTAATACTAAGCTCCCACAGTGTTTACATCATACAGTAGGAGCAAAAATGATTGTGTCTTAAAATGCAGTGTTGTAGGTTTTAATAACTGTTAAATACCATGGGTTGTTTTTGTTGGGTTTTTTTTTTCCACCTCAGTACAACTATCTATCTGCCTTTAACTTCAGAAATCCAAGTTATGGAACTAGACTTAACAATGAGATGTATAAAGCCTGGATCCATCCAATTTAAAAACACCACAATTCCAAAGGGTAATTCAGGCCAGAAGCCACGGACTTTTGTTTAGAAGGGTACTGGTAAAAAAACAAGAGTAGATTTTATGAAAAACAACTCTAGGGTACTCAAATGAGTAAACTACTCAATAGTTACAACTGATAATAAAGCTTTTGCTGAGTTATAATAACAATATATATTTACTTTCTCATTATTGTTGGTACTAAGATAATGTAGTTTCCCTTAGAATTTGCCTCCGATATGCATTGTTTGTTTCTCTTTGTCTAAAATAAATGTAACACTGAAATTATGATTACATTATTACTATTACTGTGTCTTCCTGTGGGACTCACCCTATACAGTGAAATAGTACATATTACTGTTTTTTGCTTTTTGAACCAAATTTGTGGATTAAGTGTTTGAATTCCCACAGTTTTGCAAAGATAGGTAAAGTCTAAGCAGCATTCAATTACATTTAAAATATTACTTTTTAACTTGGCAAGACAGAGAGAGTAACGAAAACTCTTCTTTCTCAAAGAAACAGAATAGAATTCAAACCTTGCAGAAGTGTCAGTTACGGAGATCCAGCTACTGATGGGATATCACCTGTAGTTTGCAGATGTGATGACATGGGCAGGGTAATTTAAAAAAAGACAACCTACTATTACTAAGCTATTATTCCCTATAAAAAAGGATCCTATATCCACTTCAGAATTTTACTGAGAGGGACAAATCAAGAGTTCTAAAACTGCTGTATTAGAATATCAATAGCTTGATATACAGTAACTTTCTATGCCAAAAGATAACAAATGTAAGATAAAATTTTCTCTGAATATGGCCCAATGCCCTTTTGACATGCACAGAATCATTGATGTAGTCCTTGAAAGGGAATGTCATCACAAAGGGGAACAGGCCCAGGTTCCCAGAAAATGCAGGAGCCTGGCCAGCAGCTCTGGGAAAACTCTGTTATGCAGACACAATTTATTCACTAAAAACTCAGAACACAAGGAACACATTTCAATTCCATTAGATCAGGAGCAAGTCCAATGGCACAGTACATCTTTGAAACTGTCTTTAAAGAGAAAGCTAGGAAAGAACAAAGAGATGCTGACAGAAGCTAATTATTTTTGTTAGCTTCATGTACTTGGAACTAAAAAAAAAAAAAGTATTGCAAAAAATTTAAGAGGCAAGTAAAAGCAACTGAAGGAGACCAGTACTGATATTATTTGATCTTTTGAAAAATATTTTCTTTAGCACCTTGAGTTCCTTTTAAATAATTGTTTTACACATCTAGCATCACGGTTACCTATTTATTGAGCCAAGTCACCTATGCTTAGATCTCCTATTGGTTTGTTTTGATTTTTTTCCTGGCTGATTTTCTCAAAATCTCTTAACATAACTCAGAATACATTATATGGCAGTTTCAGGTAGGCATTGCATGGATTTGATTTAGGTCACCACAGTATTTGCAAATAACTGCACTCAGTAACATCTGTAACCCAATTACAAGCAATGAATCTGCTGTCATTCACACAGATCCTCTTGTTTTCCAATTAGTTCTTGGAAGATTTCTGTTCTTTTTGCTCCAGTACTCAGTGATATCTAAACTGATAACTAAGACCTTTTTTTAAGAGCATTCCTTCAGTAGGAGTCTGCTCAGAAACCAGGGATGAAATAACCTTCTGAAGAAACTGATAATTTGTCATCAAATTATTAATGAGTTTAAGGGTCTGATTCTGTATTGTTTTTGAAACACAGGGAAAAAATTTTACACATTTAACTGTCCAGAATTGTTCATACACTCCAAGTAGACAAGAAAAAAATGTCAAAACACTCAAATCTGCAAAAATACAGCATTCCCAGAAATGTTAAAAATACAGTAACTCTAAAATAAAGTATGTTTCCCAATACAACTCGTTCCTTGATAATATAAATGGCTGTAAATGTTATACCCTGTTCTACTGCAATTTTTCTCTCCTGATCCCCACATAGTCTCAATACTTATGTAATGCCTTGGCTTCTATTGAATTTAAGGCTGCTGTTCTCAGAGAACAGTGTGTGACATAAAAAACAACTGTGTTTTTAGAAGTAAAAAATTGGGTAATTTGAGCATGATTCCTTGTAGGAACAGCTACATAGCTACTAGGAGCAGAAAACAGAACAGTATTTCCTCACCACCAGCGCTTTTCTTAGCGCCCATAACCAGCTTTCAGTAAAGCTCATTATACAGAGAAGTCACTTGTGGCCAAAGCAACTTTAAAAATGGAATACATAAAAAAGTGCAGACTTGCTCTTTATGGTACGTATGACTGTTGAAACTGTGTTGACAGACCTCTCCAAGGTCTGTCACCTTTTGGCTGTACCAGCTGCTAACAAGTTAAGAAATCTAACTATGTAAGCAAGCCAATTTCATGGATCATGGAGGGAGGAAAAAGAAAAAAAAAAAAAAAAAAGATATTTGAGTGGCTCTATTAATGTCTCATACACAGCAATGTTTGCAGGCTTTCAAAATATATATAGGAAAATTATTTTCTCCTCTTTTTTCTGACCATAGGAATGCTGCAGTGGCAATGCAGACAGCACACTACTTGCAAGAAGCTGCGAGTTTTCTAAGCCTCCCTTTATGCCATAAAATCACAGAAACAGGTTATCTGCTGTTCTCACCAGAGAAAATAAATTTGCTCCTTCATCAAGGGATTTTTAACATGTGACAAAGCATTTCATTCTTCAGTCAGAATATTGTTGATGTTCTGTCCCGAACTTACCTTCAGACTTCTGCCTAATCTTGCACCTTCCCTTTGCTACTGATCACTCCAGACACTCTTCTTATCACTTGTTCATTCAAACCCAAATACTCAGCTGCTTCTCCTTCATATTAGTTCCTCACTTCATTAGCAATTGCTCCTAAAGTTAATACAAAGCCTTTTACATTATCTGTGGCTTCCAAGCAGTACTCTTCATACTCTGCTCCTCTCCATCCATCCTATTTCTCCGTGCGCTTCTGTATACAATAGGTACACAGTCCCCCACTCACCAATTCTGAGATTTTATCCACTCACTTTTCTTTACATTTCAGTTGATATCAATCCACTGTATCTTGTTTGCACTGAAAACTTCACTAGTTTAGCTGGTTTGGACACTGAGAGTTTTCTAGAATACCTATACTAGTACAAAACCAGTTGCAGTTATAGGGGTGTAAGTGTACATTATACAGACACCACCTTTTTTTTTTTCCTCCTGCATAGAAGTTACACAACTGCTCTAGGGATGTTGAAACTTCTTTAGCTTCACCAGCAACTTCAGGTAGCAAAACTCACGTTCAGGTAAGACTTATGTTACTATCACAGTTGACAGTGGGTAAACAGACCAGGTTACAGAATAGGCTCAATAAAAGAGGTGGCTGAGCGTATGCTGTATGCATTCATATATGAAGCACAAGGAGGTAGCTAAGAGGATGTTGGTAATAGTCTGGGCACACCCTTCTCCCTGGGCAACGGTGTGCTGAGCTCTGGGGTTGACATAGTATCCCTCATACAGTGAATCAGTATAAGAAAAAATACCCAAGTCTTAAGAGTAGATCGAGAACTTCAGATACCGTTATCAGAATGAAACAAAGCTCTCATTTTCAAACACATATTTATGATTCTTTGATAATTATCAAGTGGTTTCCTGTAGGTACAAAGCATTTCAATCTTTCCAGAGTACGCTGATAACTGGGCTAGAAAATAACCCTTGAATATAAAGAATAAACATTCGCATTTAACCTACATATAATTAACATCAGAAACTATTTGGATAGTAATATTAAAGTTTTCATGGTACAGAAGACTGTGACTCACCCCCTCTGACAAATACAAGCAGTAGGCTACATCTGAGAACTGGTGTAGGCAATCCCAGCCCTCATCACCAACATGAATGTAATGAAGAACTGCTTCTCTAGAATGGGCTCTCTATTCTAATTGTAATGTAAATACATTCAACTTTAAATAATACTTTAAGTCAAGAGCCTTAGGTAGCTCAGATAGTGCAAAATATTAAAAAAAATTCTTGTGAAATCTCTTACGTGTGTTCTTTATTCTCTTTGCTAGCTTTTAAATCTGTTTCCTATTCAAAACCAGATTTGTAACTGTGCAAGCAATACAAAGTAGTAGGATTAACTAATGGCTCCTTTAAAAACTAAATTTGTGAATGTATTATGGACATTTAGGCTGTAATTTTCATGTCTTATTGCTAGCAGCTTTCCTCCTGCTCTGCTCAGATACTATCACTTTTGCTTTAAATAGATCAATGCGACAGCTCATTACAAGTCAAGTAATTGAAAAACGCTTCTAAAAAGTAAGAAAAGCCACAAGTGTTTAAGGTCGTGAACAGACTCTCAAATCAAGATATCACCACGTTTAAATACTATTGGACTGGTCTTCTCTTCCAGCATTACATTTGAGTAACTTAGAGAATTTTCTTCAGGGTATGCTTTTAGAAATCACAGAAGGGTTGAGGTTGGAAGCGACGTCTGGAGGTCATCTATTCCTGCTGAAACAGGGCCACCTAGAGCTGGTTGCCCAGGTCATGTCCAGATGGCTTTTGAGTACCTCCAAGGATGGAGACTCCACAGCCACCCTGGGTAACCTGTGCCAGTGCTCAGTCACCCTCACAGTCAAAAAGTGTTTCCTGATGTTCGGAGGGACCCTCCTGTGTTTTAGTTTGTGCCCACTGCCTCTGGTCCTGTCACTGGGCACTGCTGAAAAAAGTCTGTCTCTATCTTTACACCCTCCCTTCA